CACTTTTTGACTCTTTTCATCAGTGATCAAACAACATGAACATTAACAGAAACACAGTGATGGTGTGTGATGGGTCCCTCTGGTGTTCTGGAGGGGCTGTTACTTGTACAAACACAATGAAGATCACAGATCAGGGACTAAAGAAAGATTTAGAGCCACAAGGGACAACAAAATGACTTAAAATCAGACAAAAAAAAAGCATTAAAATGAGCTAAAGCAACTAAGAATCAAGATATAAGCTGAAAAACATTCTCATTTGTTCCCTCGATTAAAGAATCAAGAAAACATTTCCAAACTAACATCAAATGTATGTAGGAACCAGGAATACTGTGGCATTGGAAAACATGGATGTGAGAAAAATTTAAATGCATGATTTCTGGACCAGAGAAAGTCATAGAAATTATGAATTGTGTCAAGTTCTAAAATAGATGTTTTTTTTGTTACAAATTGCTGAGAAATTGATATTTGTGAGTAATGAATAATTAAATAAAAACCCTTAACCTGTAAACACAAATGACATGAGTTCATTAGTCATAAATAGTGTTGCTGATGAATAGTGAATGCTGATGAAATAATTGTTTATAACTATTTTAATACAAACCTTAATTAATAAAAAAAAAAACAGCAGGAGTATCTTGAACCCCATAAGGGTTAAGAAGCACTGTTCTAGAGGTTGATCTTCAGAGCAGCAGTTCTTGATCTGTGTGATGCCTCTCTGTTGTTGATTTGTTGATCTCTGTTATTGATGGAGGTGTATTTGTCTGCCTGTCAGTATGTCAATGATCGAGCCCGGGCCCGTACACACTGAGTTTGAGATGAAGATGTTTGCAGATGTTTCTAAGAAAGAGTATGTCGGTACTGATCCAGAGACGCTACACCACTTTAGGACCTGCTACCTTCCCAGTGCAGCGAACATCTTCCAAGGCCTGGGCCAAACACCTGAAGACATTGCCAAGGTCAGAAATCATGTCAGTTAAGGCCCGTTCACACCAGGAACGATCGCAATAACCATGAAGTTTTAATAATCGTTCTAAGTCTATATAATAGCAAAGTCCACACTATAACTAGGACAATGACGTCATTATTTAGTTGAAATCAGTTCATTGACAATTCAGTTTGTTTCAATAACTGTGTTAAGTTAATCAATTGGAACAAGTTTAATTTCTAAAGCAGCTCTGGAGAAAACAGCAATGTCATTATCCAACTCAATTCAGTTCTCATCCATTACTGTCTGTGCAATCAAGTTGATAATATCTGCCAAATATTAAGTGTCTTCCTGTCTGGTCTTCCTGTATCATGTACAGGAAAAGCAACGGTCCTAGTACTGAGCCTTGCGGTACTCCATACTGAACTTGTGATTGATATGATACCTCTTTATTTAATGCAACAAACCGATGACGGTCAGATAATTACAATTTGAACCATGCCAGTGCAATTCCACTAATGCCAACAGGATTTTCGGGCCTATTCAAAAAAAAAAATTTCTGGTCTACAGTGTCAAATGCAATGCTATGGTCCAGTAACACTAAATGAAAGATAGCATAAGCTCTCTTTAATAATGTAATGAGGATGCAAATGAAAGCACTCACTGTCTCTGTCTCTGCAGTGCACTAAGAAGGTGATCGAGTCGCCGCGGCCTCCATTCCGTAATCTGACGAATCCTTTGTACACCCCGATCGTGGCGCTGAAGTACGCGGACGAGACGGGCAGCCTGTCTGTTCACACCTTCTATCACATGCTGTATAATCTGGGAGGAGTCATGCATGTTAGTCTGAGTATCTTGAAGTGCCTGAGCTGTGGATGTTTACGGAGACAAGCCATCTCACCAACCTAACACACACTCATACTTGCATATGTGGTTTACAGTGACTCTCATAGGTGTAATGGTTTTTATACCGCACAAACTGTATATTCTATCCTAAATGTACATACTGAGTGACTGATACCATTTCGCATTGAGTTCGCTGTTTTAACGTACGTTTGCTTTAATTTATTTTCAAGATCTGAGGTAAACTGTCTGCTGGTGCTTTCAGTATGGCTATAAATGTCACACAATATGATATTCAAACTCACATTTGACACTTTTAACGTTGACTAAAGCACATAATCTGTACCTGAGATAATCACTGTCATAGTTTGTATACGTTGCTCCAGCCGCGTCGTCACAGAAATAGAAACCGTTTCTAAAATATGAATTTCGCATGTCACCATCACAGCTGGTTAGGAAAAAACTGATTAACATGTAAAAGATGCCTTTTATCGCGTTGCATCGTGTGTAGTTAGGACATGGTGTAAAGGATACACACAAACATGCAGTTTTTGTCTTTGTACAGATTAAAATCTATACAAATACTGTTACAGAAGAGATTATCACTGTCATAGTTTGTATACGTTGCTCCAGCCGCGTCGTCACAGAAATAGAAACCGTTTCTAAAATATGAATTTCGCATGTCACCATCACAGCTGGTTAGGAAAAAACTGATTAACATGTAAAAGATGCCTTTTATCGCGTTGCATCGTGTGTAGTTAGGACATGGTGTAAAGGATACACACAAACATGCAGTTTTTGTCTTTGTACAGATTAAAATCTATACAAATACTGTTACAGAAGTATTGGTTCCTTGTCACTTAAACCTTTTACAGTAACTCACATAAGCTGTTAAGATAAGATTTGATTTTATAGTTTCAGATAGTATAAATAGCACTATATTAGTGTATATTTTTGAGGAGATGAAACTAAGTTAGTGGGACAGAGCAGATGGTAAAGATAATTTTATTTACAAGAGACATGCTAGTCAGAGATGACATATAAACATATAAAGCTATTGTGCTTGTAAAGACCTAAAAAAGAATAAGACAATCATTTCAGAAGAAGAGATGCTGATGAAGTGATTTTCTAGATCAAGCAGCAGATTGAAGCTCTGAAGCTCCTGAAAGACTGGAATTACAGCCAGATCAACTGTGTTTAGCAGCGATACTGTGAGTTTCTGTACCGAGAGTGCATGTTTGTTGATGTACACTTTCGTAGTCCTGCTGTCATCATGATCTCTCCTCCATGATCCACACTATAAACACACAAACACACATGTCACTTTTCACTTTTTATATTATGTTGTATATATTTTTCAGTTCATATTAGTTTTTTACTACGCATGTCTAGTGATGTCATTTTGTAGTTCACATGCATGGTTATTGACGCACTTGAGAAGTTGTTAAGCTGCGCAAGTTTTGGAGAACACAAGCTGTTGTCTGTGATCGAAAATAATCGTAACTGGAATTAAAGTTCATCAATATACAACAAATAAGTTGTTGTAACCCAAATACATTTATGTAAGAAGACTGAAAGAAGTGTTAAATGTTTGATGTTAAAAATAAATGAAAAAACAAAAAGAACTTCATTGACTCCTGAGTCGTGAGTAAGCCAGTGCAACAAGAAAGATACGCGTCAAAACTTGTGGACTAACTATAAGAAAATGACATGTCCCATACACTAGAACTATCCGTGGAATTACCCGCTTTTTGGATTGTTTGGACCACAGAAACTAGGAAGTTCTAGGAACTCTGTTTGGGGGAACTAAATTAGCTCCTACTTCAGAGTAGGGTCTAATGGCGCTTTTCCACTGTGTGGTACGACTCGGCTCAGTACGGCACGGCACGGCTCGGTTTGCGTTTCCACTGCAGTTCAGTACCTCTTTAGAGTGGGCGGGATTATTCACATGTCGTTATAGTTGCGCCGCCTCTACTACCACGACTCCTAAAAAAAACTTTTTCATTCCGCGTCGCCCCATCAAGCTCTCGCTGGATCCGCTCCTCTGCTATCAATGAGAGGAATGTCTGTTCTTCCTCAACAGACAACAAAACTTTTTGGTTGTAAAAAAAAGGTGCGCTCGTTCAAAACAGTTGTGTTCGATCCTTCGCTGGCTGTGCTGATTCTTCTTCTTCTTCTTTCCAGTTTAACGGCGGTTGGCATCCAGCTTATTGGTGCATTACCGCCCCCTTCGACTACGATTTGGATTCTGATTCTGCTGTGTGTACGCCCGGAAACTTTGTAAATAACTTTGTAAATATTCTTGTAAATACTAGTTTGCCAAATTAAGGGACGTAGGGGGTTAGACGCCATTTTATTTATATGTATCTTTTTTTCACTTTGTTTATGGTTGAGGGAGGTAGGGAAGTTGGTCTGTAAAGAGAAGTTTTTGTTTGTTTTGGCCTTGTCTGCCATCTCTCTGGTGTGAACTCCGTTCTCTCTTTCTGTTATGGCTAACCCCTAGAGGTCGTAACAAAACATTAACGATAATACAAGATGATTTTAGAGGATGACAACTCAAATTACTGTGAAGTGTGACAAACCTGTACTTACTGTCTAATCTTCTCATCGATGAAGTTTGAGCAGTCTAACATGAGTCACTCAGATGGAAAGTTTCCGTCGGGGGCGCACTGGTCATCTTGAGAACCGGGAGAATTCCCGGTGGCCTGGCAGCTGATTTGACCCGCTGCCCTACATTTTTTAATATTGTTGTTGTTTTTGTTGCCTGCAGACTGCCGAATGTACCAAAGTGGTTGTTTCCGAATTCGCCATTCAATAATAAGACTCTTAATAAATCATGAATACGATTTGCCTAGCACATCCGCCAAAAGGATGCGAGAATGGAGTGAAAGCGCCAGGTGGAGCAGAGAGGCAAGAGTGTCCTGTTCAGGACTTCAAGTGCAGGTCAGTTACATCTGTAAATAGACCATTGTAGTTTTGTCTTTGCTTACTTAGTTAAGCATTAAACTGCTAGCAAATGGTAGCAGTCAATTACTGCAAAAATACCAAAAAGACATAAAAAGTATTGTGAATTTAGCAGACAAATATTCACATCGTTTTATAGCAGGTTTAGAGGGAGCCAAGGCACAGGCAGACAACAACACAAATCTTACGAAAATTAAGGTTTAAATTAACTGTGGTTTTAAATCATGAATCGGTTAGTCTTGACTGGCAATATGATTTGCCTCGCACATCCGCCAAAAGGATGCGAGACTGGAGAATGGAGTGGAAGCGCCTGGTGGAGCAGAGAGGCAAGAGTGTCCTGTTCAGGACTTCAAGTGCAGGTCAGTTACATCTGTAAATAGACCGTTGTAGTTTTGTCTTTGCTTACTTAGTTAAGCATTAAACTGCTAGCAAATGGTAGCAGTCAATTACTGCAAAAATACCAAAAAGACATAAAAAGTATTGTGAATTTAGCAGACAAATATTCACATCGTTTTATAGCAGGTTTAGAGGGAGCCAAGGCACAGGCAGACAACAACACAAATCTTACGAAAATTAAGGTTTAAATTAACTGTTTTTTCCTAAAAAATAAAACCAAAAACTATGGTTACTATAGTTAAACCATGGTTACCACAAATTAACAATGGTTTTGCTACACTATATTGTTTCACCGTGGTATTTGTAGTAAAACTCAACGATAATGCAAAAACATGTTCAGTATTAAGATTTTTCTATAAAGATATATTCAAGATGTAGCTATTATTGTACTAATTTTGATATTAGAAAATTACATGTCCCATACACTAGAACTATTGACGGAAGTACCCGCGTGTTTTTGGCGCTTTTTGAAGTTGTAGGAACTCTGTTTGGGGGAACTAAAACAATATTTACTTTTTTTTTTTTTTTTTTTTTTTTTTTTTTTTTTAAAAAAAAAAATATTTTAATGCAAAAACATGTTCAGTATTAAGATTTTTCTATAAAGATATATTCAAGATGTAGCTATTATTGTACTAATTTTGATATAAGAAAATTACATGTCCCATACACTAGAACTATTGACGGAAGTACCCGTGTGTTTTTGGTGCTTTTTGAAGTTGTAGGAACTCTGTTTGGGGGAACTAAAACAATATTTACTGTTTTTTAAATTTATTTTTTTTATAAAATATACTTTTTTGAAAGTAGTCTACTTTCAGTCAGATTTGAGTTTATTAGGCTACATCACCACTAGATACACCTTGCTTCTAATAAGAAATAATATTTGTGACAGACTTTTGTTCTTGTGGAAAATACATTAATGGATGAACAAATAAATTAATTAATAAAAAAACAATAGCATGCAATAGCTTTACTTTGGCCTGTTGATAGAAATATTTAAGTGAGAACTGAGGTTCAGAGGATGTTGTTGTGGAGACCTAATAAAGGAGAAAAGACAATCATTTCAGAAGAAGAGATGCTGATGAAGATTTTCTAAGGCAGCAGATTGAGCCGCTTTTAGAGAGACACTGACATCGGTTTAACAATTACCTATATAGTTCTTAGAAAATAATAGTAATAGGCAGTTCAAATTGTCAAAGCTCTTGGGGGGTCCCCCTAACCAGACCACCCCCATGCCCCTTCAAAAAAAAAAACAAAAACAAAAAAACCTTATTTTGAACGTTAAGTCATTATGCAGAAATTATTTGGACAGGGTCATGTAGACTCACACAGATATCAAGATTCAGCGTATGAACCTCAACAATGGTGACAGTCTACATGACCCTGTCCAAAAAATTTCTGCATAACGACTTAATGTTCAAAATATTAAAGCAGGTTAAAATTTCATGCAGTTGTATTGTAGGGCTAATATAATGTGAAATATTTAAATCTAAATAATGTCCCCAGAGATCAAACTCTGGGTGAGTTCAGTGAATGACCACTACGTGATGATTGAATCATCAGATCGGTTTTCCTTCTTGCAACTTTTGCTATAACAAATGTGCTTCAGAAACAGTTACAGCAGCCAGAGAAAAACTTAAGTTAAAAAGTCAAGGGTCAGGAACCCAACTAAAGCAAGCACTTGCCTCCATAATGTTGACTTCAAACTTTATTATTTTCTATAAAACAGCGCTAAAGCTTCCTGGAGGCTAAGTGAGGGCTGCCCGTGCAGGGCCAGTGCTAAGGGGCCAATACTGTCATCAGTTCACATCAGAGATTCAGACACCACTTCATTATTAAATGAGTCACAAATGAACTTTTATTATATTTGATGATCTGTTTACAATTTAAATATTAAAGCAACCTTTTACTCTGTTTATTAAAGATTCAAAACTGTGTGTGTCTGATCTAGATTTATAACTTCTAGTTGAAAATTAAAAACATTAATTAAAAATGAATGAATACAAATGTAACTATGTGAGATTTGATGAGTTTGTGTTCATGTGAACATCAGAAAGAGGATTTACAGAGAGTCTCTCTATCGTTTAATATCACACAGAGACACTGAGGAATTATAATCAACTCTAAACCCAGCACAGAGGGGTTCAGTGAATGTGGTGCTGAATGTGTGTAAGTGTGTGAGTGTGTGTGTGTCAGAGACGCTGTAGAAGGACAGAGAGCCGGCCGACACGTCCAGATACACTCCTGCTCTATTAGAGGATGAACGGACAGCAGGTATAACAGTGTCGTTATTATTGTGACGGACAGTGAATCTGTTATTAGAGCAGATCAGACTCCAGGATTTGTCATTGTATCCAAACCTACAGTCACTCCCTCCCTTCCTTCCGATTTCTTTATATGCCACTGCTGCCTGACCCCAGCCGCTCCATTCAACCTCCCAGTAAGAGCGTCCAGTCAGACTCTCTCCACACAAAACCCGCTCACCACCAACAAATCTCTCTGGATGATCAGGATACGGCTGCGGCTCTTTCACATATGTTGCCCTCCTGTTCTCATCAGTCAGAATGATGTAATTGTTTGCTGTGTTTGGATCCAGTGTGAGATCACAGGCATCTGAACACAAGA